CCCCCTTGACCTGTTCATCCTCCCTGGACTGACCTATCTCCTCCCTAATTCCCCACCTACACTCACCTTTACTGGCTCCACCCCCACCTCTTTGACCTGTCTGTCTCCTCTCCACCTATCTTCTCCTTTATCCATCTTCTATCCGCCTCTCCTTCTCTCCCTTGTTTTTCAGAATCCCCTTCCCCTCCCCCATTTCTGAAGAAGGGTCTAGGCCCGAAACGTCAGCTTTCCTACGCCTCTGATGTTGCATGGCCTGTTGTGTTCATCCAGCTCTACACCTTGTTATCTTAGACAGAAGCTTTGTTAGACCAGAAGAGAAGCCAGCAGGTCCGCGGCAACCACGATTTCTCTCTCTCTCTCTCTCACTCACTCACTCTCTCTCTGTCTCTATTCTCTGTAGTAAACCATTTTAAACTTGATAAGCCACCTTATCCTTCCTTCAGCAGATACTGCGAGTTCTGGCTTTGAATGAGGTAGGTCAGAGATGTTTCTGAAGTGATCCAGCCACCCTGTGCCTCTTGCAAACCAGTGGAAGCATTCAGGAAATCAAATCAGCAAAGAATCAACCTGACAACTCTGGTGAACAAAGACTACAAAACAATTTTTTCCAGTTTTACTTCCATCATCTGATTTTTATTCCCCTGTTTATGTTCATCTGTCTATCTGTGTGAAAGGGGGAGTTTAAGGGATTTACAGTTTCAATTTGTAGAGTTTACTTACTTTTGTTTAATTGTTTACCTGCAGCTAGAATCCAATGACCTGTAATAATTTCTGTAAGTAATTTCTTGTTAAGTACAAAAGCCTGGTCTGTGCTTTCCATCAGCTTCAGCCTGAAAATCAGGTAAACTGGGGACTTACTTGAACTTTTGTGATGACTCTGGGAATAGTGGGGTATGATTTCCATTGCGCTATCCCAGTGAGTCACGACAGGATACAGGATTTGTCGGCTGAAGTTTGGATTGGAGTTCTTGAAACTTGAAGATGTAAGAACTATGGGGAGAATATATTTGAGAGAATCCTTATAAAAATGCAAAACAAAACAGCCAGGGTTTCAGTGGAGAAAGGACAAGGTACAAATGGAGGCAGCTATGTTTCAGAGGTAGGTATAAACTGAAGAAGAAATATTGTGCCAGGATCTCAGCTTTAGTTCAAATAGAATTCCAAAGTACTGCATGATGAAGGTTCACCATTTATTTTTATTATTTGTGATCTTCGTTCTAAAGTGAAGGAGTTGATGTATACTTTTAAATTTGATTTGTATTTCTATGACAGGTGTTAAGAAAGGGGAGGATTTATTTTTTAGTTTCATTTTAGATTTGTGCTGTCAGTTAAGATGGAGTATTTGGAGCTATGCTTTGTTAACTTGCATTTAAATGAGGTCTTTAAAACCGCTGAGGTGAATATTTCAGTGTATTAGAAATAAAGGTTACACACAAGGAGAAAAGGGCTGTTGCTTAGCAGCCGTACCCAGTGACACTGGGATGTAGACAGAAACATGATTATTGAGAAAGGCAGTGGGAAGGTTTCAGTTAGAAAGAATTGGTTCTTAACAGCAGAAGTGCAGTTAATAGCTGTCTCCAAAGCAGTCACAGGTGGGGATAAAAATCCTGAGTGCCTGAAAAAAAAATGCGGAAGCAGAAGGAATCCATGCTAAGAAACTGGTGAGCTGGGGTAGAAGTTTAAGAATCTAAAGAAGAGGCATTGAAGAAAATATACAGAATGCAAACATTTGCAAAATAGAAATCAACTACAGTCTTGTGAGCTGAGCAAGGTGTCTAGAAATGGAGAAGAGGTGACCCCTCACTGATGTTTGAGTGTCTGTATGGTTGTTGGTAAAAGTCAAAGTATTGAATCTCTTTTGTGATATTTCTAACAGGTTTATTTGAATTATTTCTTATATACTATCATAATTAATGTTTTTCTTCGTGTTACACACTTAAGTTCTTTATTAAAAGTACATTGACAGCCTCTTGTGGCTATGTCCTGTGAACGATCACCATGGAAAATAAAAAGAAAATTAAAATGTATAGTCTATCAAACTAGCTTCGCTCTGGGGTCTGACCTCTCTAGTGTTACCATCAGCTGAGATCATTACGGCTGCACTATCTGGTTCACTGTGAATGAATGTTTGGGGAGGAGGTTGGAGTCAACAAGATAATCAGCTGAGACCACGCAGAAGTTCAGCTAGAGCAAATTCTGATGCCTCTGCATCAACCAGGCATTCTGATAGTATCAAGGTGGTTCAGGGGGTGAGTCAGGGAGGGGGTTGTGGGTAAAGAGAAAGACCTGGGTCCCTTTATATCACCTCCCAATGATCTGATTGAGTGCAGCATGTAGTGTGGGAGGGATCACTGATAGATATCCAGGACAGAATTAGAGGATTGATTAGCTTTTGGTTGTTAATGTTAAATTTTAAAAAAGACTTTCACCATCTTAATCTTGCTCCTAATAGAAATAGAATTCAGTTAAAAATGCAACTGCAATTCAGATTGTTTTCTGATTCATATTCCTTCAGCAGAAATGGTGAAAAGCTACTTTAAGCACTCATTACTTTGTTGCACTCTTCCTTACCTCTCAATGGATCTGTGGAGTCTTTTCCAGTTGTGGTAGTTAGTTTTAGATTCAAAGCCACCACCTTTCACCTTCGCCTGATGGGCAGCTTGTGTGGATCTGGTATCGATGATATAACCTTTCTTATCAGGGTGGAGAACAGCAGCTAGGTAATGTTCGTCCTCTTTACATCTCTTCCCATTGGCCCCAGTCAGTGGCTGGCTGCTTCGCATTATCACCTACAAGTAACAACATCTCCACATCAATCTTTAGCATCATCCAAGCCAGAGTCCCATTCACTGTATCCCAAACACATGAAATAGTTACTGCTTGTTCCACACACAGACCTATTTCATGCTGGTGGATTCAAAGGTCATTCCAATTGACTGAAGTGTCCACCAACAGCAAACATTTAGTTCTATCAGTTGATAAGCAAGCAAATGCTGAGCTTCTCAATATGCAGTCAATGGTAGGGCCCTGGGGAGTGTTACAGAACAAAGAGATCTGGGGTACAGGTTGATAGCTCCTTGAAAGTGGAGTGACAGGTAGACAGGGTGGTGAAGAAGGGTGTCAGCATTCTTGCTTTCATCGATCAGAGCGTAGGGTACAGGAGTTGGGGCATCTTGTTGCAGCTGCATAAGATGTTGGTGAGGCCACATTTGGAGTACAGCATGCAGTTCAGGTCCCCCTACTGTAGAAAGGATATTATTATTAAACTAGAAAGAGCGCAGAAAAGATTCACTAGGATGCTACCTGGACTGGAAGGTTTCGATTTATAAACAGAGGCTGGATAGGCTGGGACTTTTTTCTCTGGAGCACAGGAACCTGAGGGGTGACCTTATAGAGCTCTATAAAATCATGAGTGAAGTAGATAAGGTAGATAGCCAACAGCTTTTCCCAATGGTAGGAGAGTCTAACAATAGAGGGCATAGGTTTAAGGTGAAAGGGGAGAGGTACAAAAAGGTCCAGAGGGGCAATTTTTTCACACGGAGGGTGATAGTGTATGGAACGGTCTGCCAGAGATAGTGATGGAGGCGAGTACAACTTTGTCATTTAAGAAACATGTGGAGAGATAAGAAAATTGGATAGGTATGGAGGGATATGGACCAAACGCAGGAAAATGGGACTAGGTTAATTGTGAAAACTGAGCAGCACGGGCAAGTTGGGCCAAAGGGCCTATTTCCATGCTGTGTACCTCTACAGCTGTATGTGACTCTAAACAGCTGAGATGTGCTGTGTCCAGACAATACCGTCCAGCTGAGTGTGTCTGAAAGAGGTTTGAGCAAGAGGTTTGAATCACAGACTTTATTCAATTAACATCTCCTTATCTGTTGCTTGCAAGATATATGACATTGTTACACAGGTTACTTTATTTCCAGATGGTAATGATGAGTACAGGCCACAGGTAATGCAGTTTATAAGGTATTTAATTTGCTGAATGGCACTTGAACTGCAGTAACACATTCTTAAACTGCGACATTGTAAGTAGCAACAGAATAAGGTTTCTTACCATTCCAGTCCTTTTGTGGTAGTAACTCAAGACTGGAAAGCGTCCGTTTTGTCGAAAGCTGGCTATGGTCTTTAATGCTGCATCATCGATAGACTTGTGAACAATCACTGCATCAGGGTAACTCAAACACACTGCAAACTCTTTGTTCACATAACTGAGTCTCCAATTATCCGTCTATGTGAGAAGAACAGTTTTATAGACAGCTTTTAATTAATGATTCAACAGTGAAGGCATTTATTACTTTGAAAATGAATGAATATCCTGGCAGTGGGACATGGGGAGGAGGCAGAATATTGGCAGATGTGGGGGCTGCAGGTTTCTGCTGTCATCTGGGGAGTCTCCCAGATTACACAGGATATCTTGGGAGAAGTGTCCCTAATGTGCCAAACAACAATATGAATTTCACAGCTTCTACCAACCAACTTGAGGGCAACATTTTAAGATAGGTTCAGGTAGTTTGAATCAGTAAATGGCTATGAAGCAGGGAGTGGAACACTTTTCTTTCTAGGAAAGCAGGTTAGGTAGACATTAATGCTCCAGTTCATATCATTTGTCATCACAACAAGAAACCTGCAAATCACAAGCATTGTTGCAGTCTGCTAGAAGTGACTGGATGAAATGGATTCTGACTTAGAGTTTTGCTCTAATGAAAATTTTTTTTCAAAATCAGCATTTTGAAAAGGCAAAAGAAAAATTATTGGGAGGACATCAGAAACAAATTACTGCCTAAAAACAATGTATATGAAAGAATGAAAGCAAAATCCTGTTGATGCTGGAGATGTGAAATAAAAATAACAGAATATGCTGGAGACACTCAGCAGGTCTATCAGCATCCGTGAAGAGAGAAAGACAGAGTTAATGTTTCAAGTCTGGTAAGACTCTACTTCAGAATATATTTGAAAGATTTATCTTCAGCATTCAAAAGCAGGTGGTTGCAGATTTGATTACTGAGCGACGTTTAACATTGCAGGACACAGACAGTGTCTAACAGTATAGCAGAAAGAAGCAATCACTTCTATCATACATTCTTAATGTTCATCTATCCCTTTCCACAGCAAGGAGGAAAGAAGGCAAAAGATTAAAAATAAGGAAGTATCAACAAGTACATTTAAATATGAAAGGGCTTTTTATTTTTTTTTTCTGTTTAAACTTTTTGAAAGATTGTATATACAATAAAAACTAACATGTAAAGACAACTTGGTAAACTGCTCTTCAGGGCTAAATAAGTCCCAGCCTTCCTGAAGGTTCGGTTCCTTTGGCCGATAGAAGAATGGGTACATGTGCCTGACAGATTCCAGAGATGACAAAGACTGTAAAACAAAAACAGAGAAAATGGAAATTCCATCAAAGAAATATACCAGAAACATCAGTGTAACAGTGTTGAGAGTTTAATTATTGTTCAGAATGCTGCAATGTACTGGCCCTTCGATATTGGGAATCAAACAGAATATGAAAAGATTTGGAATTGTAAAGTGTCAGATGTAACTATTTTTTGAAGTAAAGTCAAAAATAAATTAAGTTTCTTTGCTCCTCTCTTAGCACAGAGAAAATCAATGGGAACAAAAGACCAGCCATTCCCTTGGCTATGGCCATTTTCAGGACAACTGAACACATCCCTTCCCCACCACCTTACACCGTCCTGGGAGAAACAAAAATCATGGGAAAAAGTGACACAGCCAATAAAGAGAGCTGGTGGTTAATAGCAGTGTTACTGGACAAGTCATCCAGAAACTGGGGTCATGGTTCAAGTCCCACCATGGCAGCTGGTAGAGTTGATAGCCAGTCTTAGTGATCCTGATCATGAACCTATCATGGATGTTTTAAAAAAATGTTTAAGATTTTAAAGGCACTGAGAAATATGGGGAGAAAGCAGAAATATGTCATTGACATGGAGAATCAGCTGTGATCACAGTGAATGATGGAGGATGCCCAAAGGGCTGAAAGGCCTAGTTTCTGGTTTCTACTAATGTCCTTCGGGAAAGGACATCTGCTGTCATTACCCAGTCTGGCCAATGTGTGACTCCAGGCCCACAGCACTGTGGTTGGCTGTTACCTGTTGTCCCAAATAGCCAAGCAAACCACTCAGTTCGAGGATAACAACTGTTGGCCTTGGCAGTGCCACCCATAGCTGGTCAATCCAGCTGTTAATCCACTTACCTCTTATGTGATGGTATTTTTGCCCTGGTTCCTTTATGTCCTAGATTGCACTCATGTTCCTTTTGGGAAAGGATCATATAATGTATTTACTAGAGACCATACTGACTAATAGGTCACCATATTTCACTCTAGAGCAAAACTTTGTTTGGAATGATTTATGAGTTATTATTTTGGCTGCAAGGTTCAGAATTAACATGAAACATGATTACCATGACTGGGAATGTTTCTCGTGAAGTCTGTCAGTGTGGAGTATGAATATTTTTCACTGTGGACCCTCCTCTAATCTGGTATTATTCATGTGCAGAAGATATTCCATTATGCTCTCTGCATAGCAACTGCCCTCAAAATGTAACACTTCCTTCCCTGAAAATTGAATGTTTTCCTGGCAATTTCCTGTGCAGGAGGAGGTTCACCAGGATGCTGCTGGGCTGGAGTGATTCAGCTCTGAGAGATGAGGCAGGCCTGGGACTGTTTGCCTTAGAGCAGAGGGGGGAACCTGAATGAAGTGTACAGAGTTCTGAGGGGCATAAACAGAGCAGATAGGTTGAAACTTTTCCCTTTAGTAGAGGGGTTCAATAACCAGGAACACAATTTTATGACAAGGAGCAGGAAGTTCACAAGGGATGTGAGGAAAAAGACACTTTCACTGAGAGGCTGGTAGTTACTTGGAACTCACTGTCTGAAAGGCTGGTAGAGGCAGGAAGTCTCAAGATATTTAAGAACGATTTAGATGAACACTGAAATGCTATAACATACAAAGCTATGGGCCAACGGGTGAATAATGGTATTAGAATTAATGGATATTTAATGACCAGTGCAGATAGCATGGGCCAAAGGCTTTCTTTCCATGCAATAAAAACTCGATGACTCTGTTCTGTGGCTAAATTTTAAAAATACTATAGTCACATAGTTTTTAAGAAGTTAATTTAGTGAACCATTTTAATGTGACAAGACGCTATATAAATCCACCTGCCCTTATGATTCCAGAACAGTGGTTTTGTGATCTTCAACTTTTATTGCATTTAAATCAGCAGCAAAAGGCCATTTGTATTCACATTCACATCCCAGAGGCCAAAAAATCGTCAGGATCATCTCATGACTTCAGCTGACTGAAGCACTTGAAATGAGTGTTACTCAGTACTAAAACTAATAGAAGAGAAATGATGGCCTGTATGTCAATTATCTCATTTGATTCACTACTTGGGACATGTCAATCCCAGCCGGAAGCTCAACATCAGGAAACCACCAGGAATAGTCCAGTCTATTCTCCCATTATTTCCACATGGATAGGGTAGCTTCTATCTTAAATCTTATAGGTAGAAATTCTGTTTCAACCTGCAAATTTCTGCCTGGTCAGTCTGATAAAGTTTCCATCTGATATTTTATTTCTTAGTTACCTGGTTAAGTGGAACAGCGAGTTCTACAGATATTGTCACACTCAGTACATTACCTCAATAGACTTGGCAACATTCAAGCATTCTTCCATTCCTGGTATCTCCAGGTACATAACACACAAGTCTTTACATTTAATAGTTATTATCCCTGAAGACCCTGTATATCTGGAAAAGAAAGAAAATGTTTTGGGCTGTTGAAACACGTTATGGAAAGCAAATATGGGATTCACACAGAAACACATTCAGATATTTTTCCTGAGCCTGTACTAATCACCTCTAGGATTGTCTACTTGCACAAGAACAAGTAGCAAGATCTGCTGTTGGTGTCTGCTGACTTTTTGCAAGGAAACTCTTTCGGTCTCCGGCAAAATCATCTCCTTCCACAATGAAGGAGAGAAATGTTTGCAATCTGCTATGCATGAACACGCAGAGCCTTCTCACAGGTTCTGAGTGTCATTTATAGATGACTTTGAGCTCACGTGATTCAGACAAAAGGTGATTACTTTCTCCAGCATCTACAGTAATGTGGTTAGTATCATTAAAATGCAATGTATGTCAGGTACTGCTACTTCAGGGTCTACAACTATCAAAGAATTGCATTAGAACCTGTGTGACATAAGACTCACTGTGGTATTAAGTGGCAGGTAAAGAGAAAAAATATGATTTCTAAGCAAACTCTAAAAACAGAGTTGCGTGTGTGTGAGGCAGGGGCCAGTAAGAGTGCATGTGTTCTGTGTTGTCAAAAGGTTCTGTTTTGGCAGCAACATGAGTCACTCACCATCATGGACAGAGGCTGAGGGACTCTGATCACATTGGTTACATGATTCACATTCAGATATTATTTAACTCAAATTTAGATTTTCATTGTTTTTGCGGGTCAGTGTTGGAAAATTATTTCCTTACTTCATAGCTCAAGAAACTTTAAACAAAGCCAAAGCCATAATTCAGACAGGCTTGACTTGAGGTGATGCAGAGAAATGATTTTGCATGGAGGTGGAGGAGTGGGAGGTGAGGGGAGGAGAGGAGAAGGAGGGGAGGGGGTGTGGGAGGAGTGAGATCAGATCAAGCTACAAAATAACAGCTAGTGAGGCTGTTCAAGGGTGATGTCAGGATGCACTTCTTCAGACAAAATCTGACAAATATCTTGAACCCTTTTCCTCCAAGAAATGGCAATGGGCTGAGGGATTAATTGGAACTTTCAAACATGGATTGTTTAATGTTTGTTGGGTAAGGGGTACTAAGGGTTACAGAAGCAAGGCAGACAGATTGAGTTCTGATCCAGATTAGCCAGGATCTGACTGCATGATGTAACAGGCTTGGGGCCAATGATTTATCTCCTCCATTTCCTTTACAGTCACTTCAAATCAGAAAGTGTCCATTTAAATACCAGATACAGAACAGGCACAAACAACAGCTTTGCAACATAGCGTTAGCAATAACAGAAGCATTTCTTTTAAGAAAAGTCCCACTTCCTTAAGAAAATAAGACCAATATAGACCCAGTAAACTTATGTTGAGGAAGGAAATCAAAAAAGTTCTTTCGGAGTCACTTAGGAGAAACTTTAAGTTCCCAGTGTAAGCTGCAAAAGCACAATGCCTAACGTGAAATAAGCAGCTATCGGCAATTAAATACCAGACCTGTCCCCATTCTGCTGATTTACAAGTTTGATGCTTTGGTATCCACTTATGTTCAGCACACTGATTAAGAAAATGAGAGAGGGGAAAAGACAAACACATGCAATATTAGTGTCAGAAAGAAGCATTTGTCAAATGTTGACTTCTGATTTAACAAATCATGCTTCCTCTAATTATATCACAACAGAAACTTAGAACAGCTCCTGTGGGTTACATACAGATTATTGTTAAAGTTAAAAATTAATGGAAATGTAGAAATTATATTGAAGATATATTAAAAATCACAGAGCAGGTAAGTAAGCTTTTGAGAGAAGGTTCATTGATCAGAAATAAAATCAAACACTGTTAATGTTGTTACGTAATTTTTAAGAAAAGTTTAAAATGCCCCTGGGTCCAATCACCAGGATTAATAGTCATAGAGTCAAACAGCACGGACCAGGATTAATAGAGTCATAGAGTAACACAGCACGGAACAGACCCTTTGGTCCAACCTGTCCATGCCAACCAGGTTTCCCAAACTAAACTGATCTCATTTGCCTGCATCTGGCCCATATCCCTCTGAACCTTTCCTATTTATGTACCTGTCCAAATGTCTTATAAATGTTGTAATTGTACCTGCATCTACCACTTCTTCTGGCAGTTCCACCCTCTTTGTGAAAATGTTGCCCCTCAGATCCCTTTTAAGTCTTTCCCCTCTCACCTTAAACCTACGCCCTCTAGTTTTGAACTCCCCTATTCTAGAGAAAAGACCTTTTCTATTCACCTTATCTATGCCCCTCATAATTTTATAAACCTCTATAAGGTCACTCCTCAACCTCCTGCACTCCAGTGGAAAAAATACCCATCTATCCAGTGTCTCCCCACAACTCAAACCCTCCCCTGCCTGCAACATCCTGGTAAATCTTGTAAGTGACAGTTTATAGGGGCAGCCCTCAGTGTGTGTACTGCAGCATGATGGGCCCCTTTTGTCTGTTTGTCAGAGAGGAGGGAGATGCTGTACCTACATTCCCTGACACCTCTCGGACTGGGATTATAACTGTCTCCGAGGTGACTGGAAAACTCATTTCTCAAACTGCGTAGCGCAGCAGAGATCAGAGCCTAGTTCTGGATTGCTAAGAATCCTATGCTTTATATTCAAGGGACAATTAGCTTTGAAGACACCCAGTGAAGCAGCTGTCATTAGGAGGTCACAGAATGCTGCTGGAGCACAGCTGCAGAAATCTGCACCCCCGCTCCCCCCACCTCCCCCACCCCAGGCAGGGGAGGGACCCAAGCACTGCCCCCCAGGCAGGGGAGAGAGCCCAGCACAGCCCCCCCCCCCCAGGCAGGGGAGAGAACCCAGCACTGTCCCCCAGGCAGGGGAGAGAGCCCTGCACCTCTTCCACAAAGTTATCTTGTTTAGGTTGAGAAGAAATAAAAGGTGCCCTTCACTTTAAGGGCAGCAGGAAACTCCAACTCCTGAGCACAGATCAGGTCCCAGTTAATCTGTGATCCTTCCACTCCCCTCAGTACAGCAGTACTGGCTAAAGAGAGCTGCAGGTATCTGCCCTTTTAACCAGACCCTCTGAGCTGGGCATTCTAACCTTCTGTTATTCTACCACCTTCGCGTTCTAGTTACTTGTTGGAATGCTGTCAATAGTTCAAGAAGATTTCCTGCATCTGAAGAATGAAAGGAGTTAGATTCTGACCCAGCCAACATTGGTCTGAAAATGATTCCTGACTAACAGCAATTAGTGCCTGAACTAACTACACAGTGGCCGGTATCCCATCACCAAGTCATCCTTTATTTACATATGCACTGTACACAGGCTGTAACCAGCCTACTCAGAGTCAGTCCCTGAAGTCAGATATACCCAGGAGATTCAGAGAGTCTCCTGTCAGCCAGGGCTCCCTGATTGGCCCAGGTTAACAGCACCAATCAAGGATCTCATAGTTAATAAGATCTACCTGGTTCCAATCACTACAGTGTCAATGAAGAATTTGATCAGTTCTGGTGCTTATCCTTAGTTATTGTGTATTTGCTAATTGGTGACAAATTCATGAAATAAAAAGATCCCTGCATTATAATAATATTTGACAGTGATTCATTCATGTAATGTAAACTTTAAAAAGCGAACAATGCTGTCCTCATTTTTCACAAGGTTTAACCATCAGTTAATCATTGAAAGGCTGAAAACTTTATTTAAACAATGCTGTACATCAAACTATTACATGTAATTAAACATCTCAGTGTCCATATCACAGTTGTGTGTTTATATGAGTTGTACGTGATCTTTAATTTGAAAGACCATGTGCACAGGGTTTATCATATCAATCGCTGAGAGCTCCACTGCACACTCACAGGCTGGGTCTGGGGGTCAGAGAGAAAGCTCCCCTTGCATAATTTGTCAGGTTGTTTGACATGATTTCCTGGAAATGAATATGAATTAAACACCCCAGAAGGCCATTTCCACATGTACGATGTGTTTCTATTTTGTGCAGTTTTCATCCTGTATTCATGCTCAATTTGTGGACAGTTTGAATTTCAGACATTAGATCCTTGAACGTCCATGAAAGGAAATAATTAACCACTTTTAACCTCTAAAGATGGTGTTTCATCATCAGGCACATTATTCACTCCACCACAATCAGCTGACTTCATATGGAATTCCAAAACCCACCATCGCTGCCTCTACTTTCTTTTCTCTATGAAAGTGCATTTTTGACAAAGCAGAACAGAAACCACTAGCAGCAACAAGCAATTCTCCTTCTAAAATCAAACAGTTACAAAGAACCCCATCCACGTTTAACTCCCTTTTGTTTCCCGTATATTTCTGTTCAATTTTTGACATAAAGGAGCAGAAGGCAATGAATTTTATAGGAACAAGAATGTAGGAGTAGGTGTTGGCCATTCAGCCCAGCATCCCTGCTCCACTATTCTAGATCACAGCTTATCATCCACCTATTTCTTTGCTATCCACCATATTTTAAACCTGCTGAATTAAGATCAAGCTGCTGGAGATGACTCGGTCACAAAGGTCTCATCAAATATTTCTTCACATTCTCCATGATGATGCCCAAGAAGAGAAGGTAACTCCAGTGAAAAATCTCATCCATCCAGGCTGGAATGTTTTAGTTCTTTTGTTTCCTTTCATTTGCAGCTTCTTCCATAGAACACCCAAAAATATTCCCTTTATCTTCATGAACTATTCAGTGTGATGGGGGCCAGAAATTCTCTTCAGCTATTTACTTTGTGCAGGCTTGAGGACTTTAGTTTTGCATTTTTATAAGCAATGATATGGGGGGGGTGTGTGTGTGTGTGCGCGCGTGCGTGCGTATGTGTACATGTGTGTGTGTGCAGTCACTGCCCATGGAGCGGGCCCTGAGACGTTGGTGATCGATGGAGGTCCGAAGGGGCAAGATGTGAACTGGAGTCACCAGGAACCTCTCAGACTTTCATGTCGGGAACTGTCTCCCTCTGGTTTCTATTAGGGGGAATGGGGCGAATTGACTCTGTCTCGTTTCTAATGGTGGGCATTGGGGGGGAAATGG